AAGCAGTGGTATCAACGCAGAGTACTTACAACTTCCTTTCGCAATGTCACTCTCGCACTCGCGCTTACAATCTGTAGAGAAAAATCGAATTCACCCGGAGCAAAAGCTCCCAAAAGCGAGATTTTCGAAGATTTTCTCAAAATTTGGCGGAAAAGTGGATCATATCGTGCTAAAATTTTGTCTTTCCCCAGTCATCGCTGTACAGCTTCCTTTCGCAATGTCACTCTCGCACTCGCGCTTACAATCTGTAGAGAAAAATCGAATTCACCCGGAGCAAAAGCTCCCAAAAGCGAGATTTTCGAAGATTTTTCTCAAAATTTGGCGGGAAAAGTGGATCATATCGTGCTAAAATTTTGTCTTGCCCCAGTCATCGCTGTACAGCTTCCTTTCGCAATGTCACTCTCGCACTCGCGCTTACAATCTGTAGAGAAAAATCGAATTCACCCAGAGCAAAAGCTCCCAAAAGCGAGATTTTCGGAGATTTTCTCAAAATTTGGCGGAAAAGTGGATTATATCGTGCTAAAAATTTTGTCTTGCCCCAGTCATCGCTGTACAGCTTCCTTTCGCAATGTCACTCTCGCACTCGCGCTTACAATCTGGAGAGAAAAATCGAATTCACCCAGAGCAAAAGCTCCCAAAAGCGAGATTTTCGAAGATTTTCTCAAAATTTGGCGGAAAAGTGGATCATATCGTGCTAAAATTTTGTCTTGCCCCAGTCATCGCTGTACAGCTTCCTTTCGCAATGTCACTCTCGCACTCGCGCTTACAATCTGTAGAGAAAAATCGAATTCACCCGGAGCAAAAGCTCCCAAAAGCGAGATTTTCGAAGATTTTCTCAAAATTTGGCGGAAAAGTGGATCATATCGTGCTAAAATTTTGTCTTGCCCCAGTCATCGCTGTACAGCTTCCTTTCGCAATGTCACTCTCGCACTCGCGCTTACAATCTGTAGAGAAAAATCGAATTCACCCGGAGCAAAAGCTCCCAAAAGCGAGATTTTCGAGATTTTCTCAAAATTTGGCGGAAAAGTGGATCATATCGTGCTAAAATTTTGTCTTGCCCCAGTCATCGCTGTACAGCTTCCTTTCGCAATGTCACTCTCGCACTCGCGCTTACAATCTGTAGAGAAAAATCGAATTCACCCGGAGCAAAAGCTCCCAAAAGCGAGATTTTCGAAGATTTTCTCAAAATTTGGCGGAAAAGTGGATCATATCGCGCTAAAATTTTGTCTTTCCCCAGTCATCGCTGTACAGCTTCCTTTCGCAATGTCACTCTCGCACTCGCGCTTACAATCTATAGAGAAAAATCGAATTCACCCGGAGCAAAAGCTCCCAAAAGCGAGATTTTCGAAGATTTTCTCAAAATTTGGCGGAAAAGTGGATCATATCGTGCTAAAATTTTGTCTTTCCCCAGTCATCGCTGTACAACTTCCTTTCGCAATGTCACTCTCGCACTCGCGCTTACAATCTGTAGAGAAAAATCGAATTCACCCGGAGCAAAAGCTCCCAAAAGCGAGATTTTCGAAGATTTTCTCAAAATTTGGCGGAAAAGTGGATCATATCGTGCTAAAATTTTGTCTTTCCCCAGTCATCGCTGTACAGCTTCCTTTCGCAATGTCACTCTCGCACTCGCGCTTACAATCTGTAGAGAAAAATCGAATTCACCCGGAGCAAAAGCTCCCAAAAGCGAGATTTTCGAAGATTTTCTCAAAATTTGGCGGAAAAGTGGATCATATCGTGCTAAAATTTTGTCTTGCCCCAGTCATCGCTGTACAGCTTCCTTTCGCAATGTCACTCTCGCACTCGCGCTTACAATCTGTAGAGAAAAATCGAATTCACCCAGAGCAAAAGCTCCCAAAAGCGAGATTTTCGGAGATTTTCTCAAAATTTGGCGGAAAAGTGGATTATATCGTGCTAAAATTTTGTCTTGCCCCAGTCATCGCTGTACAGCTTCCTTTCGCAATGTCACTCTCGCACTCGCGCTTACAATCTGGAGAGAAAAATCGAATTCACCCAGAGCAAAAGCTCCCAAAAGCGAGATTTTCGAAGATTTTCTCAAAATTTGGCGGAAAAGTGGATCATATCGTGCTAAAATTTTGTCTTTCCCCAGTCATCGCTGTACAGCTTCCTTTCGCAATGTCACTCTCGCACTCGCGCTTACAATCTGTAGAGAAAAATCGAATTCACCCGGAGCAAAAGCTCCCAAAAGCGAGATTTTCGAAGATTTTCTCAAAATTTGGCGGAAAAGTGGATCATATCGTGCTAAAATTTTGTCTTGCCCCAGTCATCGCTGTACAGCTTCCTTTCGCAATGTCACTCTCGCACTCGCGCTTACAATCTGTAGAGAAAAATCGAATTCACCCAGAGCAAAAGCTCCCAAAAGCGAGATTTTCGGAGATTTTCTCAAAATTTGGCGGAAAAGTGGATTATATCGTGCTAAAATTTTGTCTTGCCCCAGTCATCGCTGTACAGCTTCCTTTCGCAATGTCACTCTCGCACTCGCGCTTACAATCTGGAGAGAAAAATCGAATTCACTCGGAGCAAAAGCTCCCAAAAGCGAGATTTTCGAAGATTTTCTCAAAATTTGGCGGAAATATGTTTTCTCAAAATAGGGCGGAAATGTGGAAGCATAGTGAATACTGAGTGAGATCGAATGTAGGCGGAGCGGAGCGGATCAAATGGTATGCTTCTAGAGCTAACTTTGCAGCAATGAGCTGCTCGCAATTTCAACACCCTTGGCACGCGCTTGCGTCTTTCAACACACCCATTGCACAGCAGAGCGTACCCTGCGTGTCGTGGCCTCTCGTTCGCCCTAGGACCTCTGCGTCCTCTTGACCTCATGATCGCGCCGTCGCGTCTCTACACAATAAGGCCCCGTTCGGAAACTGGCGTATATTCAAAACACCCGCTGAAGCATACATGAGGGCGGACCATCCTCGCCGTCTCGTTTTTTGGGATCGGGTTTATATTATAGGAGAGGATTCTGCACCTTTCTGGAACTAGGGCGTGCCAAACTCTGAAAAGATTGAAACTTTCCGAAATTTGTTGTTGTTGCTAACGCGCTGCAGCCTAATTAGAAGAAATTTCTGCCCTCCCCCTTCTACAAAAAAATATTCTGCGACGGCTACTTGGAACTCGCCCAAACATACTCGACAAAACCGCAGTTTGGAATCAATATCTAATACATGAAGAATCGTAAGGTGCATTCAAAAATCATCAAATAGCGGGTAAGCGAGCGGGTCCCGAAGGGAGCGCGCCTGCAACTAGCACCTTTGAAATTACTGGTTCACTACTCCTACTAAATAATTGAACACTACTGCACTTGTATACCCGACATTGTAATGTTTTTTATCATCTCAACTTTTGTGGAATAAGACAATGAAACTAAGGGTTTTTTTTACCACAGAAGGCTCACAAAAATCTCTCTGCGCAGACTCGGATATGAGCTTTTCTTTATAGCCATCAGCTACTACTGTCAGAGATTTTGTTTTTGCCTTGAGTGAAATATTTTATAGATCCTGGATACCGTAATTGATCGAATCCGCTCTGTACCCTTCGTTCTTGTTGGCACACAAATAGAAAAACGTCTTCTGTCCCCCATAGAATATAGCAAGGAGCACGGAACAAACTATCATCCGATGTCCTTGCATCAGGCCGAGTCTTTCGCCAAACGCATTGGGGCCAGCAAATACCTCGAATGCTCCGAAGTTACAGGAGTAAGTTATAGGTTTTTTCTTTGAAGCAGAACTGTAACAAAAGCAAATTTTAGGAGGGGCTCGATGAGGTGTTTGAAGAAGCATTTGACGTTGGTTACAGTTACGCATTGAGCCAGCGAAACGGCTACCAGAGTCGGAAGTCCAGCGTCAGTAACGAGAAAGTCAGAAAGTCAAGCGTCTGCATTACCCAGTGATTCATTTCATTACTCACTTGATCTCTAATAAATTATCTTTGCTTATATGGCAAATACATCTTTTACGTGATCCAGGCTTCCGCAATAAAAGCTTTAATCTCCTGGTCGTACAACATCGCGAAATGTTACGATTTCTTTTGATTTGAGGGTGAGGTGACAATTTCTTTTGAGCATATACTATGTAGAGTGTCGGGGGTGGTGCAGGAGGAACCAAAGAGCTGCCGCCTGTATCCGCGGGAGATAATTACGAGCGCGAGCGCTATGGAGAATATTTTGGCAAGAATCCAAGAAAACTTGGCAAGGACATCCTCTAGGAACAAATCTTCATAACTTTGCCTTGAGATGACTTAGGAAAATTTGAAAAACAGACTTGTAATGCAGATTGGAAGGCGCATTCACTGAGGCCAAAAGTAGGTTAAAATTGGTAATTGTACTGGTAAAGAAAACCATCCTAGGAACTTCTTGTTTTGTGAATTTTGAAGTTTTAAATTGTTGAAGACGGATTCTCATTCAAAATCCATTTCTTTGGATGAAGGAATAGTTTGCCTTTTCAGTCAATGAACCAAAGCAATCAAAATGTCATAAAGACACATCTAGCTTGTGTCAAGATGTAATATGCAGTTTGTCTCTTACTTCAAACCTATTCTAGTTCTAAATTTTGACACTACGGATTTCATAGGATTTGCTATTGGGAATGTCGGTAATCGTTTCGAAGCTACATATACACAGTAGCAGACATTATTTTTACCACTCTAGTTTTAACCTTAAATCCAGAAATTTCATTGAAGAAAATCACTCAAGTCTTTCACACAACATTGGACGTGAAATTCCTCAGCTTTTAATTTTGAATTTTGAAGGCTCAGTTTAAGGTAAAAATGAAATGTAGCGAGACAGAGTTGTCTATCTATCCGGTAGGCGTATTACTGAAAAATGCGCATTTCACTTCTGATTTCAAATCTGTGCTTCGTATTCCTGGAAGTTAATTCCAAGAAGAGTTATAAGGGTTTGTTTCTAATGTATGTCCTCGCCAAGTTTTTCTGGATCCTCGCCAAAATCTTACCCACAGCGCTCGCTCCTAATTGTCTCCTACGGCTACAGGCGGCATGCCTTTGGTTCCTCCTGCACCGCATCCGTAGAGTGTCCCATAAGCATGTAGACATTCTTTGATTGTTGACCTCTTCCCATGTGGCGTTTTGTTCACTTTTAGGTACAGTTCAGAAGATAACTTCATAACTACGTCAAAAGGATTACTGTAGGAACTTCCACCCAAAATGCCGTTTTGAGATTATCTGCTTGAAAGAATTTTTCTGTAAAATTCAAAAACTTGTGCAGCAATGTCTCACGCATGCTGATATCACTATGCAACGTTTTACGAATTTCTAAGTCTCTGATTTATGTAATCACATTTTTGAAAATTTTGAAAAAAAATTGTCGCAGTATACCCGTAGCTTATGAAGGTAGCATTACGGAAGTGTATTCAAGACCCAAAGTCAGCGACTTTGACTACCCTATCATGAGAGTTAGATTGTTTGATTATCATCTGCATCAAATATGCCTCCTAACGGCTTAAATGGGGACAAGTGGCGCAGTGGTATGAGGCGCCGCTATGACCAGATCGGACCCAGGTTCGATCCTTCCCCTGAGCCAACCAACTCACTTCCTTCCGGGGCCGGTGAATCGATACCAGGGTAATCCGGGAGGATAAAAGTACTGACTTGGTAATCAACCCAAGTCACTGTTTCCGCATTCATGAGTTCCCCGACTACGAAGTACATTCGATGCAAAGGTTATTGAAGGCGCCGCACTCTTTATCCTTTTTAATGGCTCTCAGGTCCCTTTCCAAAGTTCTCATAGTAACTGTATTATAATGGATACTAGCGACATTACGGGTCGCTAGCAAGTGGCTCGCAGATACAATATAAGGGCTTAGTTGTGATTATAATATTTCTTAAGTTTCCTATTCCTTTCCTAAGAACATTTTTGCGAAAGCATTTTACAAAAGGAGAACTGCTCGAAGAAGCGATAATCTCCACAAATCATTCAGCATTTCTCGAAATTCCTGCTACAACAATGCATTATTATTTTCCTCTCGCTTACCACTCTCTTTCTGCAAATTTCCCCTCCTCCCAGAGACATTCAGATAACCCGCTCCCCCACTTTTCTACCCTCTCAAAGAGAATTTGCTCTTTCAATTCAACAACTTCCATAAAAGATCGTTAAGTAAGTAGCAGAACACCCATAGTTTTGGAAGTAGAAATACACCCATAACAACTACATATGTGTACTACGAAAAACATTTTCTCTCAGAATCAACTCCGACAGCAACAAATCAGTCGTCTAAGAACTTTGTCAGAGAATCCTTCAATTTTTTCGTCAAAGGAATATGAAGCTTTACTACTAAAGGAGAACCCCCTACTCAGCCACTTAAAGACCGTCAATCATAAGAACTGCACAAACGCATAAAAATCTGTTTCCCTGCCCGATCGAATTGCTCTACGTGCCGCTTACACACCGATCCTAGTTGAAAGCACCAACGGGACCCAGTTACACAAGCAAAAGCAAGGCTGTTGTTAGGTAAACGCTTCCAAAACTACCAGCGAGACCAAGTTACTCAGGCACTCTCTTGTCTACATGCGGAAGCAAGATAAAAAATGTTCTTAATTAGAGCATTTTTACCAAAAGTTGAGAACATAGATGAATTTAGCTCAAGTCACGCTGTTACGCAATTTTATATCATTTCAAAATTACTTAATAGGAGGAGTACCACCTATTTGAAAGACACATGCTGTGATAACAAGCTCGAAAAAAAGCAGGTACAAACATACGTGCGATAGGGGGAGCCGGGCCTTCTCCAGGTGAAGGGGGTCTCTGCTACTCCCATCCTTGTAAGGTGAAGGGGGTAAGTGAGCCCTGAGAGCAAAATGCCCCAACAAGTTACATACCATTCGACTGAGGTCATATAGAATCGATATAGAGACCGTCGGCTTTTTCCTAGGTCTTTTGTGCCGCGAGATATGAGGGATTTTATGTACTTCATGTGTCAACTAATTTTGTGTCTTCACTTTCTGCTCTCCAAAAGAATGCTACGAGAAAGTCGACGGTCTACGTCTGCTAATGAAGACTTGCTCTGTAACGCAGATAGATAACCAGCAGATGGTCTTCGTTTGGCAGAAATTTGCTGTTGAAAATGAACATGATTTCAGGTAAAATGCAGTGTATCTCTCGATAAAAGGCGGCTAGAAAGTATTCGACGGTCTACGTCGAGTCCCCTTTTCCTGAGCTTTCGAATGGTATATAGACTGCTGAGCGAAAAAACTTGCCAGTTTTTAAAAATGGTGTGGAGGTATTTACTATTAGCTTGCTCCACCCAGCTCCCCCAATGTATTGGCTTTTATCGGTCACCAGAGCAAGTGCTGTTTAGAGCCGGGAAGCAGAAAAGCCCTAACATGTTTCACACCGTTCGAAAGCTGAGATTATGGAGAATTGACGTAGACCGTCTCTTTTTTCATGGCTTCTCTGTAGAGCGAGATACGAGCGATTTTATACGCCTACTCACCAGCTAATTTTGTGTAGTTATTTTGTAATTTATTTTTGAAAGAAAGAACAAAGATTAAAAAAAAGAGACGGTCTATGTTTACTGGCAAGATCTTGCTCTGTGATGCAGTTAGAAAATCAGGCACCTTTCCATTCTTCACGCAGAAATTTCTCGACAAAAACACACATCTTTTTGGCTAAAATCCCGTGTAACTCTAAGTAGAGGGGAGCTGGAGAAAAAAGAGACGGTCTACATCGACCTTTTTTTGTGGGCTTTCTAATGGTATACAGGTTGTCGGGTGAAAAAACTTGTGTTTCTTGAAAATGAGGTGGAGATATTCAATAGTAACTTGCTCCACCCCGCTCCGGCTTTCTATGGGTTGCCGGAGCAACACTTTTTTGGACTGGGAAAGTTTTATGCACCAACACCTTATATACCATTCGATAGCTAAGAACGCGAAAAATCAGCGTAGACCGCCTCTTTTTTCGTAGCTTCTCTGTGAAACGAGATACGAGCAGTTTTATCTAGCTACAATATCAGCCAATCTTGGATAATTATATTTTCCAACCAAGAAGGTCTTTTTCGAACTTTTATATATAAATCGAAAGCATAAAAAACGAGTAATCTGACTGTTGTTTTGTTTGTTATTATTCTCTCTAGTGAAAAGAGATATGGTATGATTTTTGGTCAGTAAACATGCAATCATCGCCAGTCGGTTCAGATTTTTCTACTCTTGCTCAACCCTTTTTTGCAAAGTATGTATTCATTGATGCAATGTTAATTATTCAAAAAATCACCTTTTACTTTTTGATTACGTTTCGTTATCAACGCCTTTTGAGCGCGCAGAACGTCTCAAGCATGCGTTTTTTGATGAAACGTTGTTAATTCGATACTCTCTTGCAGTCTTGATGTCTGAGGAAAAGAGCAGCTGGCTTCCCTTTCCAAACAAAAGTTCCGTTGTAAAAGCTGTTTGCCTTGATTAGTCTCAACCTCAGGTGAAAAGGGTCAGCCAGATGCCGGCCCCAAAGTGAAGGGGGGCAGAGAAATTTCTCCACCTATCGCATCTATGGGTACAAATAACACACCCGGACACTGGCGACCCAGTCTCAAAAACATTGCGACATCAAAACTTCCTTCCGAAATACGTGTGACCCTTTTACGAAAATACGCTTGGTCACTCGTTATGAAGTTTGGCAGTATTCCGAAACGCATGCCACCATTGGCAGCAATCCAAAGTCAAAGATCAGTATATTTCATCATAATTTCTCCGTCTGCTGCCTCTTCGTTTGCCGTGTTCCACGGATCAGGGGTAACCAAGTGGTAAACAAGGAATCCAAAATATGTTACGTAGTGATATTCGGTCATTTGCTCCATACTATAATTCTAAATTGAATCCAACATCCATCGATTTTCTACTAGCTCACTTCAGAATCATCAAAAATGGATGTTTACCTGGTTTTTCAAGTAGCATTCACGCTACACTATAGAAGATCGAGATACTCAGGAAATAAGGTAGGAATACACAAAGTCTGTCTATTTTCTTTCGAAATAGAGAGCATTGTCGCCATTCGCGCGTCTTCTCGAACAAATCATAAAGATCCGAACATAAATATAAGCCTGCACAAGTATACAATGAAAAACGTTCATATATGTGGTGGGGTCAGTATTTTTTTTATTCGCAAATCTTACTCCGATAATCAGAGCAAATTTTGGAGTAGATTGTTTGCCGCCAAAACTAGAGTACGGTGCGCGTTTTCGGTAATGGAAGAGCAGACGATTCATTCATGATGCCAGAAAGTTCACCTTTCGCATTTACATGAACACTACCTATGAGCAAATAAACGAAGTAAGCTTCTTTAGGTTGACTGCTGATTTTTGATTTACCGCTGGAAACCAGTATCACTGGAAACACATTAGCACATTTTCTCCTCATAATGTCCACAATTTTCTTGGAACATTACCAACCTGTCACTGCTTTGTGCAATAAGCTTGTTAAAAAGTTCCAATTATAACCTGTTCTGTCTATTCAAAATCTTGCGGATTCATGGTATAGAGCGCTCGTTCTATGTATATAAGGGCGAAGGAACTTAGCAACTGTAAATTATTTTTGCTTTTAGAAGCATCCGCGAGCTGAATGTCGATCTGCCAGGTAGGTGAGCCATGACCTTCACAATGACTTAGGAAGCATTTCTTTATTTTCTTGCAAACCTCTAACTCAGACAATTCATTGGAACTTTCGCAGTGGAATAAAAATGTGCAGCAGTTCCGCGGGATTTTGCTTACTATTGAAAAAGTGGAAACATTGAGAAGGGAACTCCCGCAGATTATTCACGTAACTGATTGGAAACGGAAACTTCCGCAGGACTGTTTACAATGCGCTGCGAAAATTCCGAAAAGTGCCAGCGATTCCTTAGCGCTTTGTCTCCTAGTACTTCCGCAAGATTTTAAATGTGTTGTCTCTTACGAGGTTGTCTCGACAACTAGAGTGCATTGTCGAACATGTCATCTTTGGTAGAGAGGATAGTGAGTGAGCCCTGCAGTCAATAATGTAAGGCTCAAATCTTGCTTAGATGTTCCCTTTTGCTGTCGTGGTTGCGCTTTTCGCTAGTTCAGTAGCACCCCATTTGGGAACTTCCGCAGCACAGTTTAAGGAACTGTGATAGCTAACCAGCAGAACTTCCCCAAACGTTCCGCGGTCAATTGCATATTAATAGAACATATGCGATTTGAGTCTGTTGCGTAGCTAGCCTGTTCTCCATGCGCAGATTCCCTATCGTGTGTGTAAATATTGATGCCCACCTGCGTTAAAGATAAGTTTTAGCCAAATCCTGGAATTTTTGCGTAGGTACAGTCGAGTAGATTTTACGCTTAATATAGTGTGCTTGCACAGAAAGTGAAATGCGGTAAAATTTACGCGTGAAGAAATAGCTTCGACTGTGACGCAGGCCAATTGCGCGCGCAAATTCCCGGCAATACTGACGTGGCTATGTTTTCACGCGCAAATTTCACCGCATTTCACCTTCTGTGCAAGCACACTATATTAAGCGGAAAATCTACTCGACTGTACATTGAGATACCATAATAACGTTTCTCAAGCGGCAGTTTGTATCTCTCATTTGTAGCCGGAAATACTGTAAACTGCCCAGTAACGGACCCTTAAAATTTATAGATGATTTTTTTTCGGAACGAATGCACAATTTGTCGCCGCTGCAATATATTAGTTTTTGGTCCCCTTATTAAAATTACACATAAGAAACCCAGGGTACTCCTTTCGATACTGATTTCTGGTCATTTCTGGTCCATAGTGGTTCTCCATCACTATCGCGGAAATGCTAACATCATTAGACGAGTTTCTTTGAGTAAAATTGGACATGAGGAAGGAGTTTGAATGAAACAATAAATAATGAAGAAGAAGTGGAAGTCCGAGTTAATTAACATTTTGCCAATGTCTCCTTTATACTATATCGCTTAGCTTACCTGGATTTGGCTACAATCACTTCAAAAGTATGTGACCGAATTGATTTTGATGTCGAATTCCAGTAAAACGTCTTGCAGCTTGATTGTTATAAAAGTTGCCAGACAAAGAAGTCTTGGTGAATCTTGTACAATCTATTCAAAGGCTCCAATCAAACTGGAGCAATGCTTTGATAACTGGTCACCATCTTTTACAGCGCAAATGGAGATACTATTCCTACTAGTTATAGTCTTCTCAGCAAATGCAAGCAAGGCGTTGCATAACTTTGAAGCTGGTATAACCACTGACAACAGGTACATCTTCTATAGGGAGTACGCTCCTAGGCAAGGTGATAAATGAAGTTTCCAGGTTATTTCGAGAGAAACGAGGATATGGCGGCGGTGGTTGGGGAGGAGGAGGGTCAGGATACGGTGGATGGACAGGCAAAGGATGCGGCGGTGGAGGATGTGGAGGCGGTGGCGGAGGAGGAAAAGCAACCGGCTATGGAGGTGGCGGCTGGGGAGGCGGCGGAAAAAAGAAAGGAGGAGGAGGCTATGGTGGCGGCGGTTGGGGAGGAGGAGGCTATGGAGGTGGCGGCTGGGGAGGCGGCGGAAAGAAAGGAGGAGGAGGCTGGGGAGGTGGCGGAAAGAAAGGAGGTGGAGGAGGAGGCTATGGTGGCGGTGGCTGGGGCGGCGGCGGAAAAAAGAAAGGAGGAGGAGGCTATGGTGGCGGCGGTTGGGGAGGAGGAGGCTGGGGAGGCGGTGGGTGGGGAGGAGGCGGCGGAGGAAGAAAAGGTGGAAGTGGTTGTGGATGGTCAGGCGGCTGCGGTGGTGGCTATGGAGGAGGATGGTGGTGACAACAGAAGCACATCTCCTTTCTGCAAAATATATGCTGTGCATTTGAAAGCTTGTATATTGTTTTGTTTTGGGTTTGGTGTGGGATTGAAAGACGCTTGCTTCAGTAGTTTGTAATAAATCGCGTTTTGCTGTGCAGATATTCGTTTAGCAGTTCTGAGTGTGTCAACAGGCTGAAAAGGGAAAGCATATTTTTGAACACGCGTCGATTTCGGACCAGACTTTTTGTTCAACCAACCAAACTTTGAGTTTTGCTCATACCTCGTTTAATTATTTGCCACAAAGTCTGCCGATTCGTCAGGGCTGCCTCTTATCTGGTACAGGCATCTGTGCTATCTATCATACGACAAATGGCACGGTTGCGCTCGAATTCGCTAATGGCAGCATCGTTTGAGCGCCGTTTCATTACCGTGCTAGCGTCATGCAGAACGCCGATGAACGATATGGGGTGCGTCTATGTGCGGCACCATGTTGACGCAGGGCTAGTACAGCTGGTGCAGCGCCGTCAACTCTGAACGTTTTGAAAGGCACGGTAGTATCATTTCTGCTGCCGTGTACGGTCTTTTGCGACCTGCAGTTAGACCAATCGCATCTGCATTGTAAAGCATCAAATTCAAAATTTATCCAATTGGCGCCTTGGTTTCTTTTTAAAATCAAAATAAGCGCCATTTTTCTGGTTGGTTGAAGAGTGGAACAAATGATGCCGAAGTGGGCTAAGATTTCGTAAGTGCGATATATGCTGAGCGCCTCCCGATTAAGTCTTGCAGGACATCTTGACAACCTGTGATTTAGAAACAGCTTATAGACAAATCTTTACACACGAAGATCACACATGGAAATAAATTCGAGGACCCTTCTAAGGCAGACGCCAGACTTATGGTTTGATCGATCCTTTGATATGGCATCTTCTTAGGACACTGCACATGCGGCAGCGCAGATGGCGCACTCGCTGCTTCGTTATTCGCCCTTAGACCAGCCCCTGGGTCCACGCACAAAGACCTGCAACCAAAACAAGTCCGGCCAAGTACGGTACTAAAGACAAGTGTTCGGACGCTGCCTTCACTTGTAAGCTTATATTCTGCTATAGCAAGGATTCTTTTGTTTTTACTTCTAGGCCTTTTTCAAATGATAGCGTTGTGCAGACCTATAATTGGTTGGCGAACTGTGTTTTTTTTTACAAAATTAACATATTATTTTCCCACATTTTGGGTTAGGCCTTTCCTTCGTTTATCTTTTCTACTACAGAATATAGTTTTTATCATATAAAACTGCGCAAAAAACGATTTTCATAATAGGAAAAACTGGCAGAATCTAAAAGTGCTCTTTCGCCTCTTTGATACTCCTTTTGTTGCTGAAGGATCGAAGGAAAACTTTTATGGAGCGATATCTTTAAAAGCGTGATCGACTTTTCAATGTAAGCAATTTGCCCCCCCCCCCCTCCCCTCACTGCATCTTAGAGAAATGAGGGGCAGTTTGCCTCCCTCACTCCATTTCAAAGAAATGAGGGAGAGACTGAGAGCATTATTTATGGACGCAAAACAACCCAATAATTGCATTTTTCTTCACTAAAACGGTCATTTTCTTCCAAAACCAATTATCCTATTTTCAGGTGTATAAGCCGCACCTATTTCGCTCTAAACGCGAACACGCCAAAAGACTGACTGTTATCATGGAGCGCGTTAAGTGAGAGCAGTATGCGATAAGGCGACCGCTTCGCGAGACATAGGCGCGGCGGCTCGCCTGGGTCTGCTCGCGTTTAGAGCAAAAAGGGTGTGGCTTATACACCTGAAAATAGGGTAATTAGGCACTTAACCAAGTTTCTATAAAAAATAAAAATGAGTAAGAAAAACAAACTGCAATAATAACACGAAATTCATTTTTTGTCAACATTCAATTTTCCTTATTTCCCTTTATTTTTATCGCTCAGTTTTGCCACTTTTCTCAAACTTTCAAATCGCAATCCTTCGAGTACATTTGTATCATTGAAATCAAAAGACAGCCTAAACTGAGTGCTTCATAGATATAATTCAAATTTTGGTCCAATAAGCGGGACTAATTTGAGATTGGGCATCGCGGTGAGGGACAACGGTATAAGTCTGAATTTACTTCACTTTCGTCGTTTACCGGGAAAACACATGAAGAACATCGTAAATGACAAAATTTCCAAAAAGAAATAGCCAGATTATTGTATCAATAAATAACGATAAGTTTTTATGGCAATAATAATAATGTACGATAATAACAATCATAGTGACAACAATAATAATTATAACGATAATAATTTTCATTATTATAAGCATAAGAGTGATAGTATCAATAACAATCATGATAATAGTAGTAATAGTAACGCTAATAATAATAGCATAGTAATGATAATGAAATAAACGATGATCAAGGATATGAAATCCATCGAGTCTTCACACATGCCATGCACACTCTACCTGTTGAACAAGGTTTGACTAAAATGATTGATCCTTATCTTCAACATCAGACGTAGTCTTGCAGCTTCAATGATTCATTTCATTTCTTGCTTAGCAACGGGACGGGCGGCATTGTCAGTTCAGACGTTTTTGCGGATACCGAAGAGGAAGACGACAAGTGAGTGTCTTCAGCAACCGTACCGTTAATGGTATCGTAAGCTACAGCATCTCTCAGTAACGTCCCTTTTGCACGGTAAAAGCGGGGTATTTGCAGCGCGATGTCTCGCGCACCAATCTTTTATCATTGAGTGCATTGATCTTAAGCCGTAACGACACGAGTATGGCGAGAGGTGGATGCTATGCAAAAGAGACATTCTGATTGAGACATGGCACACATGCTTTCAAAGTACTGTTACGGACTTTCAGTATGGAAAAGACAGTGGAAAGGATACTACACCGCGTCGCTCCTGTGAGTCACAGAGCGCCACAAAAGATTACAATAGTCGGAACAGGTGCTGTGGGAATGGCCTGCGCTTACAGTATCTTGCAACAGGTTGATTCAATCTATGTGGAGGACGTGTAGTAAAATTATATCTTTAGAATGTATGCAGCGAACTGTGCCTGATAGATATGTTCGAGAATAAAGTGCAAGGGGAGATGATGGATCTGCAACATGGACAGTCATTTATTGGACGATGCATAATCAAAGCAGATACAAGTAGGAGCCCTACCGTATCTTCAAATAAGCATTAAATGGGTCTTATCAGCATCATCCTCAGTTTAAATGATGGTCAAAATGCAACGAAGAGTTGCGCGGTTGAAGCAGACAAGCACAAAATAGCGGGAGACGGTCTTTCCGCACGGGCAGTCTCCAACGCCGGCCCGATTTTGATTTGTCTTACACATGACGAACGCCGCAATTCTTTCCTCCTCTCCTTGATTTAGGCAAAAGCGCGACGATGGTCCTGTGTTGAAAGCATTACGGTTGTGCAAATCGTCCTAGAGCCCGAAATAACTCTTTTTGATTTCGCACAGGTAGTGCAAGCAAAAAGTAACGTGAAGATTCGAGTGTGAAAACCTTTACAAATCCATCAACTAAGCGGAACATGTGCAAGTGGCTTGTTAATACGTAAGCAAATGAAAGATCCATATTTTTCAAAGAAATTTGGGTTGGCTTCGCAAAGAAAACATTTTAGGGGTGAGGAGGCAGCCACTTTTTTTGAAGTTTTTTAAGTGATGGGCAGGCAAAAATTTTGACATTCATCCTGAGACTTTGGGAGTGCGTAACTAACACAAACACCTCCACTCAAAAAATATTTGCCGCCTCCCCCCCCCCCCAACTCTTCCGAACAAAAATCCTAATGCCACTACAGGTGCACAAATCTTGCAAAAAGATACAGGTCCAGTTTAAGCTGAAAGCAGCATGGAGGTCCATTTGGCGCACCGTTTCCGAGGGTTCCGTTTGTCAGATCGGGGCTTTTGCAAAGTGAACCATACATGCTGATAGGGTGCTATAACCAAAATTTTAGCGCAGAAGCTTTGCTGTGGCTCGCTTCATGACTTTTTTAGCAGACAGAAATTCAGACAGACAGACGGATACACAATCGTAAACAACCTTCAGCCCGCTATTGTGTGTCTTGACATTTACCAGAAAACTTTATATACAGTGTGCGCTGCGCTATACTGTCACATGCACACAAAAATCATTATCTCTAGACATATGAAGCAGAAAATCTGTGTCTGTGTGTCTCTGCACATTTCCCATAGTCGTGAAGGATGAGCGGTGAAGCTCATATTGATCTGTTGGTTCAAGATATGGTAAGGACGGTAGAAAGCGAAGCCAAGACGAGACGGATGGCTTTAGAACGTGGGAAACCGGGATGCCATCTCTCAGTTCTGATAACGGGTTAAGGAAATTTCTAGGGTTGAGCAAGAGGTGTTGCACGCAACCACCGAATTCTACCCCTCCCCCCCCCTCATCATTATCGTTTGCCTACCGTAGGCATGACGTAAAGGCTCCTCTTCGCATAATTTATTGACGAGGTCATTTATAAAATCCTAGCGACGGATTTGACTGCGGTCATTGCACCCAGAGGAGCATAAAACTCATACAAAAAGGCATCACTTCAATGTTAGCTCAGTCACTTCCGACGCCTTGATACATCATATCATACGCACGCAGGGAAACCAATGGAGTGGAGATGAAAACCAAGACAATGTGGTTGGCGTAGGTACGTGCGTGTCGCGCCCGGTCGCGCCATCGTCACTATTTTTCGAATGCCCTATAGTAACATATTCGTAAATATCATTTCAAATAACCCTGTGAGCCAGGTTTTAGCTAATTTAAGTTTTTGATAATGGACCAATTCCAGTGAAGTGGTCATCTTCAAACATAATTAACTATATTTCAAAAGTGAATTAACTACTTCTTTCTGTGCTCAGTACAAAACACGTCACTACTTTCTATCTGCCCATACCATGAATCCTGCTTCAATCAACCGTTAAACCGTGGAATTAGGAGCAAGCCAAAATATCACTTGTCCCATTTTTTGCTTAAGTGGTTGTGCTTCCAGCAACTAATACTCAAACGGAAGTAAACAAATTCAGTTCTAATTACTCATACGAAAACTACGAGATTCTGGCTACCAAACTGTACAAATTTTGAATAGTCTGACGTTCAGAAACAATTTTTGACTTTGTACAAATATTGTTCGTTAAAACTCTTTTTGGAGGTAAGTTAATGGGGTGTGGCACAAACCCAGAAAGCTGTTCTGCCATAGCTCTCTAAAAACTATGCTACATCCATTAACTTACCTTCAAAGCATTCAAAAAGCTAGGCCACTGCCAAACCTTCTTGTCGACACAGTGCGAATCTCATACATAATTAATTCTCCTATGGAAAGATAAAGTCGTTCTTCCTTACCTATGCAAATGAAGAATACTGCGAAAGTATTGGGTCACGGCAACATGCTAAGGCTGCGTTACTACATTGAAGAGAAGGTGGTAAGAGTGAATATTCGGTAGTTCAATAGCCTAAATCTTGCGAAAGTTATTTATGTCCGAATATTCTTGTCTAGTCTGAGATATTGAAAGTGAAAAATGGGAGAAACGAGACATTGGCTTGCTCTTAATTCAGTAGTTTGGTGTGTGAAGTGGGATCCTTAGTTGCGCAAAGAGGTAGTAGTTCTTTGTATCAAGTTCAAAAAGGAATAGTTAGCTTACCTTTGAAATAAAGGTAACATGTTCGGAAACGACCATCTTACTTGGGTGGGCCAGACATCGGAAACCTCAGAAAAACTTTTGCTGAAATGGCCCACAGGGTTATTTGACATGCTAAAAATTGCTGCTCTTATGTTTTGAGGGCTCTTTTATCATGCCTATTGTACATATGCGATGGTAGGCCAAGTGCTAGTACATTACAGTGCTTATCTGACATTGTCAACGAATATCATGTTATCGATTACATCAGCCACCTCGATAATGGCCTCCCCTCCATTTTCGACCCGTCAATACGACCTCCCAGGTGTGGCATGCCACACCCTAAGCTTGACCCTGATTGAGCCTGTGATTTAAACTCTTTTGCGACTAGTGTAAAATAGTTACTACTGTTTCTCGTGTGCACATGTATGTGTACTGTATGTGCGTGAGACTATCCAATAATTAGAATAATTATATTATTAGTTATGAGAATATCTGACACAGAGAATAATAAATAATTAGAATATTTGTTCTAGGACATTATTGCATGCAAATTTAAACCTAAATTTCAATATCTGATTCAGAGTATGAAATCACTGCTCAGTCCAGACTTTGCATCATCACTGCTGGTTTACGACAGAAAGAAGGCGAAACACGTCTTTCACTTGTGCAGCGTAACACGGATGTGTTCAAGAAGATTATTCCGGAATTGGTAAAATATTCGCCCGACACTATTATGTTGGTCGTTTCAAATCCAGGTTTGTTATCCGAAACTCTTCTGTCTAAGTTGATTAATAATATTTCAGTGGACGTTCTTACGTACGTTACTTGGAAGCTATCCGGATTGCCGCAGGAGCGTGTCTTTGGATCTGGGACTAATTTGGATTCCGCTAGGCATTATGAAACAAAGTAGATGTATGGAAGTACTAAGCAGATTTTAGATTCCGCTTCCTCATCTCGGAAAAATTCAATATTGCTGCTTCGTCTTGCCATGGATGGATTATCGGGGAGCACGGTGATTCCAGTGGTAAGCGTAAAAGGATAGTTGCGGAAGGGACCAAAGCTTGCCGGTTTCGTCAGCAGGAGAAAGTCAGAAGCGCGAACACTGCTGTGGTTTTCAAAGGTTCAGTCATTAGGCAACGCAACTGACCTCTTACGCAAAGGAATGCAATGCACAATTTGTTCGCTTTTCTACTAGAGCTTACTCTACTCAAGCACTTTCTTAAACTCTTGAACTGTGAAATCTTAAAGGTGATACTTTCAAAAATGTATTGCAATAAATCCTAAAAGTTTTATGATATAGTAAGTCAAAATGGGTGTTTTTGCAAAAGTCAAATTAATGATAAATTCTAATCTCAAATCTGACTTCGAGATCAAACCCCGGCACGAGAGTGGCAGGCAGAGGCAGGAGAAGTCGCTTTAAAAGGAAAAGCAAGAAAGTGCAGTAATCACGCGCTTACATGCACTACTCCTCACACATCTCCAGCGCGAACAGCCCTAATTCGAATTCCGAGTGTTTTTTTTTTTTGATTAAATGGCAAACAGCAGACTCGTTTAAAGCGCACACACAACAAAAAGACTTTCTTTGAACGGATAAAGGCTAGGAGGAACAGGTTACGATTAAAAAAACGGCGAGCTCCTAAAAATTTCCATTACCAACAAAAGAAGGATACTTGGTCGAAGTAGCGTTCTCGTATGAGGTGTAATTCCAAGAGTGCTTTCGGTATCAAGCGCTTTCTGGAAGGAAGTTATGGGATTTCTTGAGGTAAAAAAACGTGTTTGGCTGAGGTAAGACAGGTGTTGAGGTCTTTTTGGCGCTTGAAAGGAGTAATGACTATCATGAGTATATCAGAATGTAGGTACTAGTTGCATAAAGCGCCCTAGCAGTAATCATGGCCCTATTTGAGCTAACAGATAACAGTTCTGGATGATTTCATTGTAGTCGCACGTTTAGAATTTTGCTTAAATTCCCATAATTCCCCTTGCACAAGCACTTTGCAGCTATCGTAGGCAGATTTGAACAGCGTTCCACGCTCTGTAAGAAAGTTACATCTCTTATGGAAACACCACTTTGACCAAACATCTTCCTCTAAAAAATGGGAAAATGACTCGTTTGCAACGCTCAGAAGAATATGTCTCCAAATCAATGCTTCTAAAAATCAATTACTCAATATCCATTCATACGATGAAAATCTCCGTTCGTTACAACTAGAGTACACACTATATGTTGTCTGTCGTCAAAGCTTCAGCAAATTCCAAACCTCCAACTCTTACCATACACCTCACAAAGACCTCTTACTATGTTGAACGGGTGTAATGCTCACAGTTAGTCAAATTATTTCTATAAACTCTATAAACCATTGACACTGAATACATTAAAGCCTGCAGTTTTCAGCACTCCGTATTCGAAGAGTCGTTTACAACTTTTCAACTTGTACTTGGATATAGAAAACTCAAAATCTTTGAATTAATAACTCCGCTGCCTTTTGGTTGATGTTAGAAATTCGTTTCGAAGGCCTATAACATTGTAGATTCAGAAGTGCTGGCAAGCACTTTCACTCCATGAACGACCTCAGAGCCAATTCAGATTTGAAAGAAGCTACGCCTAAAACACGATCTCCGAGTCTTTTGCTCACGAATAACGAAAGAATTGGACGAAAAAGGTCTTTGAAAAAAAAGTTAATGTGGTGCGATTCTTTGTAGCCATGTACCTAATTCACTTAACTCATAGGGCCATAGCACGCAGAAACAGGCCCCAACGCAGACGCTTCGTCATCTCTTTGATTCAACGCACGCCTATCCTTCTTACTGTCGTCTTTCAAACAAGCACTATTTTTTTCGTACGCGACGGCTTCTAGCCTCTGCGTGCGATGATTCGCCTATACCTTGAAAGTGCGAAAATCTTTACGTTTTCTATGTGATTGGTATGAAACCCGTTGTAAGAAACTGATCCCAAACTCTCCACCGAAAAGGCCTTGTATCATTTCGAAAAGCCAGCATAAAATTTTGTTTTACTGTGCCTATAAAGATGTGCAATCGTAGAAAAGTAGGCGTGCAGACTTCGTAAATGAAAAACTGCTTCATATAGACTGATTTCTTTTCAAGATGTCTTGAAAAGAAATCAGAGGCCGTATTCATCATTGCTACCTGAGGTAAAATGAACTTTGAGGTGGAATGTATTTCAAGGTACACTCTACATCAAGGCTGTTTCGTATACATCAAAGTACCTCAAGGTTAATTCTACCTCAGCTTGCATGATTCGCGGTAATGCTCATTCATGGCATGCCATAACTCTCAGCGGTGTGTAAAGTCCATTACTGTGAATCCCTCTTCTCTATCGTTCATGTGGGTATGATGTTGCGTATGATGTTATGTTGATATGATATTGTTGTTATGTATGTTGCGATCGCAACACTTTGTCCGGGGGAGGTGGAGAGAAAAAGTATTTGTTGGTTCAATGTAAGTGGGGCTAGCCATGCACTCCGAAAAAATATCTGGAATGTTTCCTTAAAATTTTTGCGGTCTCTTTGCGGTCTTCCGCCGAAAACATTCTTTCACCAGGCTAACTTGAAATGTGCCAAAACCTTACAAGCTTAAACAACTCACTTACACATCCTCACAACTCGTGTAAGTGACTTTCAAAAATTTCAGACTATCCCCTCCCCTCCAATGGGCCAAAGGTCTATTGTACGGTTTCAAAATCACAGAATAGACGTCTGTACTGCCCCAGGGGTTAATGCTATGCCACAAAAGAATGTCATTTTCATACAGTTGAAATTTTCGAAACGTGAGATGGGTCAAAATTCCAAAGCTGCTCAAAAATTTGTTGAGGGGCTTTTTCCAGTTTGCTGATCACAAATGTGATTCCAGTAGCTCTCCAATCTCGTAAACCCTGCTGAAAAGTTTTATCGAAACAATATTTCGGATTCTTGGATAGTGTTACGACGTGGTAGAGCTGTATCTTAGCTAAAAGAGAAGTATGAATAAGAGTAAGAAAATATTTGGAGAAACATAGGGAATTGTTATGAACTGAGTGCGAAGCTAAATGGACGCCATGATCTTTCTCCTTCAGCGAAAGCAAAATTTTGAGGATTATCTACAAATCAGCTATAAAATCAGTAAAATCAATAAAATCAGCTATACCAAACTCAAAACTAACGATTGTCGTAATGGCACAAACGTGCCAGCTCAGACGCTGAAAGCGGACAAGATGTGGCCCTTATATTACTGCGATTTACAAATTCTGGGTTGACAGGGGAAGAAAAATTATAGTAAATTTATGGTCCGAGGTCAGCCGCCCTATGGAGGATCGCGTTTCAAGTGTATTTTAGTGCAATTGCACCCAAAGGCCGAGGGTGGGCTGCACTATAGCGGCTGAGTAGAGTTGGCACATTCACTGCAAGATTTTCCGCTGCTCATGCGTTTTCAGAGCCGCGGAAAATCTTGCAGTGAATGTGCCAGCTCCACTCAGCCGCTATAGTGCAGCCCACCCTCGCCCTTTGGGTGCAATTGCACTAAAATACACTTGAAACGCGATCCTCCATAGGGCGGCTGACCCCGGATCATAAGTTTACTATAATTTTTCTTCCCCTGTCAAGAATGTATGAGTTCATGACACTTACTTTTCTAGCTGCTTCGGCTGCAGTGGTGAGATTAGAATGAACCTTACTTCAATATAAGATACCTTGAGAAGCTACCCCGAGGTAAAATCTACCTCAAGGTATAATTTCGTATTCACCAAAATTTATCTCTCAAGGTTAAAATAACCTGTGCCAGCATGATAAACACTGACGTTTTCTCAGAGAAGGGCATGGCATACTTGTGGTGAATTGCTTTTTTTCATATATGCATGGGATTTACGCGAGGATACTTGTCGTTAGAGTGTGAAAGGCTACAGTTGGTGAATTGGAGAGGATAGGGTCCACATATTCAACAATTCTAGGTTTTAAGACTCTATCCGGGAAAATATCTGCTTCTAAATACAATTTACAAAATTTTCTGTTGCGATGCCTACCTGATGTCTACTTCAGTTGAATTTGAGTTGAGAAACTGAACACGACTAAAGAAATGCGTCACACGAACGTCAACACTGGCTTTTCTTGATACAGAGCTTGCAACGCGATTGTTTTTGGGTTATGCAATTTTCAGCTTGTGGTTTCAGTATGTCATGCTCAAAATATTGTTTGAAAGGATCTATGATACTCAAAATGCTGTTGGAGCAAATAAAGGATGTGTTTGACTTTCTCTGGTTTAGTACATCGTTTCACAGGAGTTTTAAAACACTCACAACATATCCATAGGATGAAAGAGAAGTGCAGTACCAAATTCTTTACATGTCTATGACTCTAGCTAATCTCAACGAAATTGAACAAAATCGCTGCAATGGGTTCAGTTTTGTTACTGCAATAGTTGTGTGAAAAATCAGCCTCTGAAACCTTGTAGATTTCTGAAAGTATCACTCCTAACCTTGCCTTTTGCTAGGGTAAAAGTTTCTATTGTGAATGTACCTTGAGGTAAAGGCATCAAGTTTGATGAATACGGATTTATCGCTGATAAGGATACCTTGAGGTAGAATTCACCTCAAGGTATCATCCATTTCACATGAAATCATTTTCAAGGTTGATCTAACCTTGAGTATTTACCTCAAGGTACATTGATGAATACGGGTTTTGAGTGATAATCCTACCTCATTCATTTTACCTCAAGGTAGCAATGATGAATACGGCCACAGTTTATATAAAACAGTTTTTACTACTTGACGTTTTAAAGTGAAACAAAGGAAAGAGGAATTTTTCAGATAGGTATGCAAGGGATAGGGGTTTTTTTTCATAAGAAGTGTGCCTGACGCTTAACCTTACTTCAAATTTGGACGAGAATATTGTATAAAGTAATGTTATTTTTTTAAGAGCAACTGTCAACACTCCAACATTATTTGAACCAACCACAAACTAAAAATCTCGATGTTAACAACTCACAAAAATTTTATACTCTGAACACCGCCCCAAATCAAAAAAAGTCTCTTTAATTACGCGCAGACCTAGGTTTCAACACCACAGTTTGAAGGTTTCATTCGCTTTGCAATCGCATTTCTTTGTAAATAATCCTAGCAAGGCACAGCCGCTCGTCTATGCGTACAAGAACAGATCCCAGTTTCTACGCTAACTACAAAAATGCATTTTATATTCTCGTGAGCTTTTAGCAAAATTTACAAGTTTTTTACTCGCGTATCTCTGATCTTGAAGCAGTTATGGTTGTCTGCCTACTTTTCCAGCGATGCAATCATCTCATAGCGGCGACAAGAATTTGGTTGTTTCTGCAACTGATAATACTGTGAAAAAGGACAAATATAACCTATCTATACATGAAACATGCAATTTCAGTACCTGTATGGTCCGGAGTGAACGTTGCCGGAATCAGTCTAGCGAAAGTGAGCAGGGAAGTGGGTAAAGAAGAGGAAGCCGCATCGTGGGAAGCGGATCTTCATCAAAAAGTGATCGATAGGTTTGATTATGTTGTGCATTTGGATTTTACTGAATGCATGGATGCGTAGATTTATTTCTTTTTATTTTAGTGCCTACAAAATCATCAAGTTAAAGGGCTATACCTGTTGGGGAATTGGGCTTTCAGTGGCAGCAATAGCAAAGGGCATCACAAGAAACTCCCATAAGGTCTATGCACTATCAGTGAATGTAAAGGTTAACGAATCTGCTTCCTGAAGTAGCTTAGCACATACGTGAGATAACATTGTTTAGGGGATTCACGGCATTAACGACGACGTATTTCTATCGCTTCCTTGCGTTCTTGGAATGAACGGGATCACCCATATTGTTAGGCAGAATCTGGTCGAAAAAGAGGTTGAGAAACTGCACAATAGCTGGAAAACGCTTTACGAAGTGCAGAATCAAATCAAATTCTAACTTTTTGTCTGTTAAATAAATTTTGGTTTTAAATTTTTCTATCCAAATGCCATTTGCAATCATACTGTAATCGCAAAACAAGACTTGCGGCTTAGGATACTCTATACAATTCCATCCTGTGTTCTCAGAAGCTGAAAAGCTTTCGCACATGAAAGAGTATCTCAGATGGAGTGTACCAGTGGTTGTTAGGCCTAACTGTGGCCTGGGACGGATAGTGTCCCTTGGAGTGCGTTACATAAAACATGAAAGCAATTTTGGCGCTATGTGCAATGGCGTGGATTTTGGGCGCGGAGAAGTAATATCACAAGCATTTGGGCGATAAACTCATAACGCAACAGTAAGGCATGACCTTTAGGCCTAAGGCATACCTCCCGCAAAATCGCCACATTCCCGCGATTTCGCGATTTGGCGGTTCGCCAGACTTCCACAGATTAAGCATGCGCGGCTCTCAGATACATGGGCTCATAGATTTCGGTGAGTTGTACCAAACGCAGCAAGTCTGGCCTAAGCAAAGTGCGTACGAACAGCTATGAAGAGTTCTTGCAGTGGCAGATAGCGCAGCGACTAAAATCGCTTGAAGTATGCCTTAAGGGCCGGGCATACTTCACGCGATTTCAGTCGCGACGCGATTTGGCAATTCGCCAGAAGTCGTCGGATCCAACATTAGCAAACTGCACATGCATAGTGTGTATAACTTACGTAAACTGATGAAATTCCCAATCTTCTGTACATTTATAATGTGCTTACAATGACTTATGGACACCTGGAATACTGCCAAATCGCGTCGCGATTGAAATCGCTTGAAGTATGCCCGGCCCTTTAGACCTTACGGTGCTCAGGGACCCTGAGGCTGTGAAGAACTGCCGACAATGTCACCACACTTAAGCCAGCGGAAGAAACGGGAACAGCGAAATGAGCGATGCATAAACATACGCCACTGTGAATACGAATACTAGCCAATGCTCACATTAGCATAACGGATGTAGTTGCAGAGCCTGGTATTTGAGAGCAGGATCCTCGTTGATGTCAGGACAGCTAGTACTAGAGTACTAGATCGAAAGAAAGTAAGCGGTATTAAGGCAAAGCATAGCGAATGGTTGTAAAATTTCAACAAATTTTTATTTGTCAAGGGTACAGGAGATCAAACTGGCAGGCTTTCTCATTCTTCTTGCGTCGGCAGCGTTTCCACACAAATGCGTGCCAATCCCATCATTGTTTACAATTGACGGCCTCTAGATTTAGTGGAGCTGAGAGGAAGTTTATAATCCACAGCTAGTACGTTGCCATCCATGACAGCTTCCAAAATGTGTCGTGGTTCCTAGGCCTTACCGTGTCCTGAAGGAGACAGCGCCTTTTAAAGTGTGTTATATAAAACACAGAAGCATTATGCTTTATTTACCAGACAATGGATACCCTGGTACAATGCTGCATATAATGGATTTTTCGAGTCATTATAGCGTATGCGATATTCCCCTTTAGGATCCCATGTGCGTTTTTGGCGACTTGTAGGATTGAGATCAGACCAAAAAGAAGAAGGGAGGAAAAATTCTTAAAAATCAACAGGTTCTGACCTTGAAGTCGTAGAGTAGTGCGCTTGTTGTGGAATATGCACATAAAGTCCAAATCGATCGACGATAGCTATAATATATCTTCAAAGAAATACGGAACTTTATCTGAATCTCTAGTGTGAAGATCATTCTGAACATGCGTACGTTAAGCAAGACATTTGTCGAAGCACAATGAGTTTGTAGATTATGACCTACCCTATTTGCAGGTGCATGTACCGCACCCTTTTTGCTCCAAGGGAGAAAGCGCCAAAAGACTGACTGTCACCATGGAGCGCGGTAATTGAAAACAAATTGCGAGAAAGCGAACGCTTCGCGAGACACATGTGCAGCGTACGCCTGGGTCTGCTCGCGTTTAGAGCAAAGAGGATACACTTGAAAATATGGTGATAATTATTTGATCTCCCAATGGAAAGGACTGGAAATTTTGCTGGGAGATTTGACCCATGATAGAGGGCGATTCTGATTCTGAGGCCACCAAAAATAAGTAGACTTAATGGATGGTCAAAAAGAGGATCATAGGTTAATAGCAACTTAGAAAGCATTTCGTATTTACAGAAAATTCATCTAAAGCGGACCTAAAATTATGCGATAGCGACCCTAACGCAAAGAAGTGAAGCATTCTGAAAAATTCTTGTAGAATGCCTGCCGACTATCCAGTAGGCTATAAGAAAGACTTGACGATAATCAAGCCACGCCATCGGGAATTGCAAGGCTATCTGAATCTTTTAAATACCAAAAGGAGAAGGGACTGCTTTACCCCCTCCTTTCCATGCGGTCAGTCAGGGTGCAAGGACTGTTTTTACCCCAAATGTTTGAGGTCTAATAAAAAGGATAAAAGATTTGGCGTCTTTAATACCTCTACGGCCATGCGCCGAACGCACACTGCTTCATAGTCGAGAAGGCAATTGTATGCGTGCGAGCCTATTAAAGTGATTTGCTTGGGCCAGCCGGTCACCAAGTCAGGGCTTTTATCCTTATACTGGTGCCAATTTACAAGCCTGAAGGGTATGGGGCTTGGCCCCCTCCCTCCCCCCTTGCCTCCCCCCCCCCCCAATGAAAATCGAACCCGGGCCCGATTCTCATAGCGGCACCTCATACCACTACGCCACTCGTCCCCCGTTTCAGGTTTAGTCATTTCCTAATCAGATAAGTGAGTTTGCATAAATTGTACACATTGCGTGGCTTGCCCTTTACTCCAATTCGTAGCATTGGGCTGAACTTGCTCTTTGAAAATCTTCGAGGAATACTCTTAGCGTAGCTTAGGAAAAATCAAACATAAGAGAATATGTTGAAGTTGAGTCCAATGTCGTCGAGACTGCTCTAGGACTTAAGGCGTGATGCGGACAGCGTGTGCAATAGTTCGAAATATGACTCGACTGCATAGGCTCTTGCCAAACGAAGGTGCAAAACCGATGGCGCGGTCATGGCAGGTGCAGAATGCGAGGCACATTACAACAGTGAAGAGACGCGCGCGCCGCCTTCGCGCCCGCTCCGTCAATACCAGTTTTGCGCCTTCGTGCGACAGCATCCTCCAACTTTTTTATATATTCACATCTCAAGAGCTGTTCCGTTGCTATACAGCAATGTTCAAAAGAAAAAACTGTTCTGTTACTGTTTAGATAAAACCATTGACGCAGCTTCGTTTGTTTTGTAAGTGTTGCAATATTGTGAACTGTATCTGGTGTTGAGAGAAGGACTGATATGAATATTTATTGTTAAATAGTTAGATAAATAAATTAACCGCGGCGTTGGAGGCGGCGAATCTTTCTGGCAGCACGTCGGAGGTTTCTCTGGTGACGGCGAGCGTGTCGGCGGCGTTTCTGTGCGGCACGACGCTGATTTCGGCGGAGTCTGCGGGCGAAACGCTGAAACGGTATGAGTACGGTAACTACTCAAAAATAAAAGTGTTGTTCTCGTACTCTTCTGGCGGCTCTTCGGGCAGCGGCACGACGAGCTCCTCGACGAGCAGCGCGTTTCACACGTGTGGGCTCTTCGGTGGTTTCTTCGAGTTCCTTCTCTTCCTTATCGGTTTCATCTTCTTCTTTCTCGAGAATCTTGGTAATCTACAGTAATGGCGATAGGATGCGAAAAAGTGCCATAGAAAAGATTTATGTTAAGTTACCGCATCTTTTTCCTCCTCATCGTCAAGTGCGGCCAAGGCATCTTCTTCTTCCTTTTTGAGCTCCCTTAGCTGTTTCAGGATTTCACGACCACTCTCAGTGAGCTCCTTCTGAAAAGGAATTCAAACTTAGCAGTACAAATCATTGAATATCGAAGTATGGTGACAAGCTGCAATACAGTCGCTTTTTCTTCCAATAGCACTTTGTGTAAGTGCACCACTTTCGAAATATGTAGTAAAGCGCTATTCGACATGATTGCGAAAACTGTATGAAATTATGAAAAGATAAAAGACAGTCGCACAAAGTAGAAAAAAATCTATTATTTTTTGAGATTCCTAGTGCAAATGCAAAAATAGTGCAATTACACAAACCGACTGCTTCAATGAAGATTACCGTACCTTGCTCACCTTCTCCTCCACCTTCTCTTCCTCAGCGAAGGCGAGTGAGGACACCGCCAAAAGCCCTATGGCGAAGAATATAGCCTTCATCTGGAAAACGATTATTAGGCTTTTATCAAGGACAAAAAGAGGGGAAAAATTTTTTGAGTGGAGAAAAGAGGCTCTATGCAAGCCGAAGCTGCTGATGTGAATTATAAACACATGTCCGAGCTTATATAAGGCGTTTTACCGACAAAAATCGGTACATGAACAATGCCTTTGCCGTAAATCTAGTGTTGAGAAGTGCAAAACCCGTTGGCGCGTTGGCGCGCATCGCAAAGGTGATGCGTCCAACAAGATAGCCGATCGTAAGCCGTTTCGTAACATTTTATCCGATTTTCCAAACAGAGATTAGCAATGCTGCATATGTAGGCCAAACGTAGTACAACATTTGGTCGAGGACAACAAATCTACAACGTCCAATTTTTTAGCTGTTGAAGCTTGAAATTTGTACAGTTTAGCGAAGCTCAGAGGGCTTTCTGCTCGCTGTGTCAACTAATTCTTAAGGCCGAGACTTCAGAGACGATTTTTGATAGCACATTTGAGGATCAACTTCGAAAGCAATCTCTGATTGTTTGAGTAGTCCTAAAATAGGGTAATGCGTAACGGACATTAATATGTTTTGAGGATGATCCTGAACTTCAGGTCTCAACGAATTCTGTTTTCTTTTTCAGAGAGTTAGCCTAGTAAAATTACTCGTCTAGATCTCATGAACTTGGTTACAACTGAGATGTGCTGTCGCTAGCCTTTAATATCATAAACTAATCATAAACTACAGATTTCAAGTTCTTGGTAGCGTGAGCATCAGTACCGTAGCCATTACAATTGCAGAATATGGAAATTACATGTAATTATAAATATACAGAATACGGAAATCATCTGTCAATTATATTATTAATACTATATGGAAAATTTTTGTAATGAAAAGTACTTTGAAGAACCTGATCTTATCCAATCGTATCAGGTTTTGCCCAAATCGGAAGAAGTTTGCTTGCTGCAAAATAATTATCTTCCATTTTTGGGTTTTCACGATGAAAGCCTCAAAGACATTTACTTTACATCGCCGTCTTGCTTTGTTTACTCTCACAAATCCAAAATCCAATTTTAGCTGCACGATGTTACGCTCATGCTACAATTGCCGAAAACAACCTTCTTTGATGGACTAAATATCAAAATCCTGGAAGCACTGTAAAAATTTGCATAATAAAGTTACTGTATGAACGCGGTACTGACGAATCCAATCCTGATCTGATGTTCGTGATATTGGAAAAGAGAACATTCATATTCCCGGTTTTTTTCAGAACATATATGCTTCAGGTCTGCCTCTTCTAACTTTCTAAAATTTGACAAGTAAAATCATGGCAAGAAGAATGGACAAATGCAATAATAATGATGAAAAAATAGAAAAGTATTTTTTGCTTATTTCAATTGCGTTACTGAAAAGCCCAGACCTTTGCGTTGCCTTCATATCAGTGTGAATCCCCTCGAAAATTCTAAGAGCTTCAAAAATAAGACTGAGGAAAGTTTCGAAAGAAAGGAAAACAAGTGGAGGTCGATGTATCTTTACACTTGCCTTCATAATTACTGTAACCCATATTTGTGAAGGTGAGAATGGTGCCAGTGCATAGTTCTTTATGAATTCCTTATATGTGCCAAATATTAGATTTAACTGATGTTTCTGAAGTTTTCAAGAGGAAAACGAAAAAAGTGTTGAAACTTATGTTGAGACTCAATATTTTGTGAATAAACAGAAAATAACTTTTGCACCGTAATCTATCTCAAACCTTTACACCCAAAAATTTGACATAAGCGACATTTTGTTGATAAAATAAATCTGAATCAATGCGATTAAACAGAATTTGAAAATTATCAATGGTCTAATAAAGGGTCAAATTATTGAATGCTTTTTGAACACTACTAATACGAGTCAGGTAAAAAAAGCGTTATAACTAACATACGCGGCTTTTTGCTTCCCAGCCGTAAGACACCAAATTATAGGTGCGGCTTCTTGCATAGAAGATGACAAATGGACAAGTAAACACGCATGAATTGCCTGCATGTCTTCAAGGAAACGAAAATCATGAGCAATGTGTAATTTCTCCTACGTTAACAGCAAAACTCACTGAGAATTCACACGGTCTTTGACTGAGCCAGTGGGACTACAATAGAGCCCCTAACTCGAGTGGAAAAGGCGGGTTTCGGCGTATCAATTCTGACGGCACCGTCGGGAACCCATAAGTTGATTTAAAAAAATTTTCACGAGGTCGGATGTTGATTTCTGGAAAGCCATTGATATAAAGATTCGAAAAACCATAAGCAGCCTGAAATCAATTCCACTAAAAAAATTTCCATTGAATCGCCGCGATGGAAAAATCGCAACGAAACCGTCGCAAATAATATTTCCTGCTTAATTAGATTTTTCTCATTTCATGTCGATATCTCAACAATCCCGGTCTGTCAGCTGTCTCTCTATAAATGCAATCCTTGTGATGCTGGCCTCAAAAACAATCAGCGTCCGATTTCGTGAAAGTTATTTTGAACCGAATTACGAGGTCTCGACGGTTTCGTCAAGAGTGATGCGCCGCAACTCGTCTTATCCGCCTGAGTCAATGACTCTGGAAGTGATCTTTGAACACCCAGGAACACCCAGGACGAGCTGATGCCAAGTTTAATGAATTAGTTGTCATATTTCCTTGTATCTTGTTAAATCGTCATATTTTGAGAGCGAGACATAAATGAAAGTAAAGTATGACTAACTGAAAATTTGGAAATATGCGTACTATTTCTAGTGTTTGTACTACTGTCTATGCTTTGTGTGGTGTCCTCCAGCTCCGGACACTCTTCGTAGCTTCGACTTGTCGCCACAGAGGCAGACTCATTTACAATCACTAACACAACAGTTTAACTAAAACCTACTTCTCCTCCCAATGGTAGTTAACGGGTCCACATCTCAAAGAAGATACGGCGTTGTCTCCAAGATTTCTTTTTCAGAACGAAGTCTCCAGTAATTTGCATGATTTTCAAAAAATTAGGATGAGCGGGTACATCTTAAAACAAAAGCACTAAGATAAAGTACTTGGCCAAAAATGATTTCTCGAAGTTTGATATGTCTACTAGAAAGAGTAGTCTGGTGAGAATCAGAATACAAAATTTGTTCAAGTGGAAGCATTTCAATGAATGAAAGGCGCAAGGAAATTAGAAAATTCGATCTTCCTATGGCGATCAAATGTGAGTAAATTCATAATTGTAACAAAAATCGCAGCAAGAATATTTATCGGTTTTCGTTAAGCAATTAAACCCAATTACCAAAACAATCATCTGTGTGCATCCACCCAGCTTGAATACAAAGATTAGGAAGTCAAAGAGCTGGGCTTTTGGAGAAGCCATGTTTGGATATAACTAGTGACAGACATTTAAGTAACTGATCCGTGACAATAGGAGCATGAAACATCTTTTGCGACAAACGACAAGCCAGGTTTTCATGAAGATGGACATGATGAAAAAATTATTTAGCCAGCGTGAAGAAGATTGAAACGCAAAGAAACACCATACCCAGCGCACAGATGAAACTGGTGCGCGATATCTGTCAGAGCACATATACTCTTATTGTTTATGTTCTAAAAAAGAGGGCAAGCACTGGCTAGGGATCCATCTCTTCACAGAAGACAGTCTGACAGAAATCTATGCCAGTTCAGACATATTTACAAGAGAAGCCTTCTCAATTGGAGTGGCCCAAATGATTCCTACATACCTTCAAAGAGCAATAGACAATGATTCAAAATTTGCATTCCGTTTCTGCGGAGAAATTCTCTGGAAGAGGTAGTGAGCGTGTAAAAGTTTAAATTTGCTAAGCTTTAAGTGGCGTAAAATTAGCGAAAACTTGGCATTCTTATATCAACTGCAGGGAAGGAACACATTAGGTGTTTTCGTACAACTTTCCGCTGATATGCCGCTTAAAGCTCAACAAATTTGGACCAAACGCTCGTTACTCTTCAAAGAACTGTTCTTCAGAAAGGGTAGGGTAAAGCAGCATTAAATGATCTTCAAAGTAATGTAGACTTATGGAAATGCCTCTTTGACTAAAAAGGCTTCTTAGGTGGCAATATTGCCGTTTCACATGTTTTTTTTCCAATTCTTGCAATTGTCGTATTTGAATTTTCCACGAAATGATGAGATGATTCGATTACTGATGCTCAATTCTAAAACAAGACTCGGAATAGGCAGAACCCTCTCTTAAAGAGAGAATGGCTTCAGTTGATCACACTGCAGGGCGATCAAAGAATTGGAATTGTAGAGTCTTAATGCAGATTTTCTTTCCATGACCTCCCCCCCCCCAATCGGAGGTCATAAAAACCAGAAAGTCCTACATTTCTCTGAAATTATGTACAGTGATGGCGGAGCCCACTTTACTATTCGAATCTAGGTAATAGCATAATTGCGCGGCTACCGTACTCCGCGAATTGTGCCCAAGGCCTTGTCGCGGTGGTGAATGTTGCCGAAATCATTACAATCAATTACAAATCGATTGCATTTGTAAGTATAGATATACAATACCACCCGTAATTTGTGAAAAAAATGGCGGCGGCACTTAACTCACGCGGCGCCGCCGCAGTTAGGTGACAAACGCCGCGTCGCGCGACAAAAGTCGGCGGAAAAGCGGCATTTGCCGCCTAACTTTGCCGCGCAACGCCTAACTTTTTTTTTTAAAAAGACCTTATCTTGATCCAAAATTTATGAATTCAATATATAAGAGTACCATTCAACTCAGCTCGGCGAGGCGCATCTTCCAGTATACAGATGTGCCTAGTTGTGGGATATAAGTTTCTTCCCTGGAATTTTAGTGTAAATGGATCGTTCAGCGTGCTGATTCCAGAGGCTACATACACGTTCTGCTGAGCACTGCAGAAATAGGACAGGTATAGTTCAAGAGCTCATTCTGCATGGATATGTGTGAAACTGGGCTTTTCTTGGCGAAGTATGACGGGGCCCAAAATGCAGGAAGACAAAGGGAAATGGTTGAAAATCGCGTGAGAAGCACATATCGCGGAATG